CCGCGGGCCACGTGACCGCCCAACCTGGCAGTCACCTGGGAGGGGCGGGGCGGGAGCGCCCTGCGCCGCCATTTTTCTAAAGGGAGAGGCGGAGGGAAACCCGGCCCCGGCTTGAAGCCGGAGGTTGCCATTTTGAGAAAGGGCAAGGGAAGTGCCAAGAGGCGGGAAGCGCGCTGCCATGCTGGAATTGGGCAGTGAATAGCGAGTGAAGCTCTGCAGGATCCATCTTGGGCCTGGGAAACTGGGTGCGTGCTTCAAGACGTGCGGTGCCGCCGGGGTTTTACACGTTAGGGCTGGGCGGGGTTTGTCTGTGAAGGTGCAGGGAAGTTGCGCTTAGTACGGAATGAGCAGCCTGTTTGTAAAACCTGCATTCACAGCCCGATGCTTTCCTTTCTTGGCGAGCTCTGGCAAGGCACATCCATTTTCTCAGGAGCGGAACGCTGTTTCCCTGTAAAACCTCTCATTTCCAGGGCGCCACCAGCTCCTCGCACCCGCCTTCTATGACTCTCTTTGTCTCCTGGTCACCTCTCAGCCCCTCCTCAGGCTACCGCCAAATCCCTCATGTCATAGGCAACACTAGGCACTTTCTGGGAGAAAACTCTAGCAGCCGCAAGAAGGACCTTTGGCCTTTCGTACAGGAGCAGGCAACAGAGCTGGGAGCGGCTCCAGGGCATGGGGCCGGGCGTGCCGGGGGAGAGGGCAATCCCCAGGGCTTTCCCTGGCCAAACCGGTTAGCCCCAGCTAGCCCTGGGATGCACAACTGCGTCAGCAGGACCCCGGAGAGGGATCCTGAAACCGCGTTTGGGCTTGCACCACTACTGAGGCTGAAGCAGCTTTTCTGCTCTACAACATCCGTGCGATGCGCTGCCTTGCAACTGGATGAAAATGGTGATACAAAAAATACGTGTCAACAGGCTTCCATGAGGACAGCCGGGCTTTTCACCTAGCATGCAGCTCAGGAAAACCGTTCTGCTCAGATGAAGTCAGGAGACTGGTGGTCAGTTTGATTACCCTAGAAAAGTCCCTAAAGTAGAACTTTCCGACTGTTGGCCTCATCGCTTCGCGGAAACAGATGCTGATGTGCCTAAGGAAAAATGAGGCACAAGGAGACTGACATCGTGCAGCCTGTATTTTAGAGTTACAGAAAAGCCCAGGGTTTGCATATTTCTTTCCGTAAAGAATGTTGTTAATCTAGCCCCTGCCTCTCTTGACCATGTCACGGAGGAATCTAAGTGTCTCAGTAATGGCATTTCCTGACTAACGTTTCCTGTTTATTTCTTTTTTAACAACAATACCAAACACTCATAAAACAAATTGCACTTTACGGCAATATCAGGCAATAACTAATGAACCTGCTCACGCCCAAATAAGCTACACAATGTCATTAGTGCCTGCAGAAGGACAGGATGACTTCCTCAAGGCTACAGTGAGTCACTGCATAGAGGGAATTATGCTCATGGCTCCTAATCCATGTTTGTTCCAGCAAACTGTGCAGCTTTGCACACCGGGAATTTATGCTCAGGAAATGCTGCCATGATGTCACATTAACTGGTTCATTTTGATGATTTCTTAAATTAATAGATCAATGTATTCCCAACAGAAGGCTTCAGCTGTGGCATTCCTTCTCTTATTCACTCACAGGAGCTTCAGAAGGTCAGCTTTCAAAACTCGTATTTCCATCCTATGATAGGCTGAATGCCCCCCTTCTCAACTAGTGCAGAATAACACTCTTACATCTATTTCTGTGGAAGGAAGAGGTTATTATGATGGGACTACGAGAACATTTCTTCTGGGTTGGGAATCTCAGCCTTGCTTTTTATCTGTAGGTTGTGTTTGTTTCTTTAAGTCTTTGTCCATACCCCAGGCACATGTGATCTGGACCCTTTGTAAACCCAAACATAGCCAATAAAAATACTGAGGGCTTAAACAAAACGTTCATCATTTCTTTTGTAGATAAGATAGTTTTCAGCTGTTAATGCTTTTCTATTTCAATTGTTCTTTCTCATACCACTCTAATCTCACACAAAACTAAAACGCTGTTATTCTGAGAGAAATGATTTGAGATACTGAGTGTATCTAGATCTCCAGAAAATGTGCTGCTTGTATCAGAAATAAAATCGTTCCATAATGATGCAGTCAAGAGTTGGTTTCTGCATACAGCTTTACTTGCAAGGATGTATAAAATGCATTCTTTCCCCTCTAGCTTCTTTTGATCCCTCAGACCCACTATCAATTGTTACAGAGTAGAACTATGAAAATATATTGACTAGATCTCTCTGTTTCTAATAAGGATAAAAATTGCTTCTGCCTCACTGCAACGTAGGAACCCTCAACAGAAGAGCAGAACTAGCCTGCTAGACATTGTTCTTAGTAGATACCATGTCAGGAAAAGGCAAATGGGAAGTGATAAAAAGAGTTTTTGTCTAATGGCTTTTCTGTTGGTGAAAATACAGATTTGACTGACATTCGTTTTAGAAATTGATCTGAACTATCTTCCATCCAAGTTGCTAAAAGCCTCTCTTTCACCAAGCTGGTGGGGGTTATGATACCTGTTTAGGAATGACCTCAAGTGTAGAGTGATTTTAATGATTTTAGGTCACCCACTGACCATTTGATCATGTAACAAGTGTACCGGTAGAAAAACTGTGGGTGGAAGGGTCATGCTCTGGCTGGAAAGAAAAGGAACCAAATCTGTGCATCTGATGATTAAATATTAAAAGAGTTGCCTAGTATTGTTCTCAGAGAAGTCTATTTATTCAATTTAAAGGGCTTTTAAATTTGCCCATCTGTTTCATTTCTCCTTAGCATCTGAATCATCAAATAGGCTATTTTTTGTTACGTATATTTGAAGTGAAATTGTGCCCAGTTTCTTAGAAGCAGAAGTGAATCATTCCAAACACACACAGAGTTTATGAGAAAATCAGACCAGACCACACACTAAAGTAGTCTAATCACAGACGGAAAAGAGGATCTGTGCTAATATGAGAATTATTCACTGGTCTAATTGAATAAAATGATCTGCTAAAAGAATTACTCCTGTAAAAGCATCATCTAGCCCCAGATTCAGTTTATGTAAGAATATATAAGCATGAAAACTGTTGAAGTGCATAAAATTCTGTTATCCCTAATTAACTAAAACTACTCACAAGCTTGCACCTATCAGTAGGAGAAAAACATACTAATACAGATTCTGAAAATAATTAATTATTTTTGGACAAACCCAACTCCTAAAGTCGTTATGATGTATTTTTAATGGGTTCTTCTTGAGTGGATTCTTATTTGATTCTGGGGTGGATTTATTGTGAGAGGCAAGTGCTAAAGCCTTCATTCAAAAGAACGTCTATGAAAAAAGAGAAAAACTGCTGAAAGCTGTTGCCCCATTGGTGTATCCAAGTGCAGCTTCCTGTTATTTCATTTGATGAAGCAGTTTCTCTTCTCAGAACCAGACTCGGGGTACGTTGCCGATGGTATCACAGTGAAACTGCTACGCTGGAGCACATGGCCACCTAGGTAAGTGTGCAATAGCCAAGAAGCCAGCAGATAAACACCTTACGTTCTGATACAGGTTACAAGCTGGCTCTCTCTTAATGTGATGCTGACATCGTACAACAAAACTAAGGGACAAAAAAGGGGCTGGAAAAGATTTCTTCCCCCCCCCCCCCCCCAGCACAAGTGGAATATGAGGCAAAAGGGTGAATGATTTCAAAAAGAGAGAAGTCATGCCAGCTTGATTTATTGCTCTAATGGTATTGCCATGATGAAAATATCTATTGCTTAGAAGGAGAGGGGGAGAAGGAGGAAGAAGAAAAATATTTGGGGGAGTGAGTTTTCAGGTTTCTGAGCTATCAAGTCCTTACTACTAAATTGCCTCAGCATAAGCCTCACAAAGGATTCCAGCAGCTCTTCTACTACTGTTTTTTAATATTTGTGTTGCATTAACAAGGTACTCAGCACTATTTGTAACAAAATAAACTTACCAGAAAAATGAACTGCACTAAAAAGAGCATCTTAGAATTCCAAAAAATATTTTGTACAGCTTTTTTATGTATGCTTAAAATAATACTCACCTGTGTCGTCTACATCCTAAAAATCACTTTTTTTTTTCTATTTCTGTATAAGTCAGTTCATGATAGCAGAATTTTTATCCTTGATATGATAATCCATTAGGTACCTCCGAGTTAACAAGCTTGAGCTCTTTTAGACTTGCTTCAGACTCTTGAATATCAGAGAGAACTATAGGTGAAAGTTAGCATTGCATGAAAACAGATGCTGTTCCTTTTAAACAAAAAGTGGGATAGAGCTCATCTTACTGAAATATGTATTTCAACGTTCCCAAACTGTGAGGGCTTTCAAAATTAACTTCTGGGATCTGCTCATTAAATAAAAGATTCAGCTATGGAAGGTACTTGTACTTGAGGAAATCAGCTTGGCTCCATAACTTAGTGTAAGAACACAAACCAGTCTACGGTTGAAACGGGTTTGAGAGAAAACAGAAATCAAGAAAACCATCTGTCCTTCCATCTTGTGGCTACTCTACAACTGCACCACTACAGCAGCTACTTCACAGATCTAGTTCACACAACATTGTTTTTTCCCCGAATAGTATCTACAGAGCAAAGTACTTGCAAAAGCTTATCATGTTATAATGAATATTGCTTACAGCAACTCACCCCTTTTGAGAACTTGAATTTGAAATAAAGGACATATAGTGACATTTATTAGTAGCAGATATTTTGAAGATTATTAAGCTGGTCATTATTGGCTAACACAAGACTTTTTTTGATTAGCAACTAAACTTCTCTGTTAATAACAAAATCTTTGAAGTCTTCTCCATCTTTCTTGATTATATAGACTATATTAGATTTCTTTTCTCTAAAAAGATAAAAAAGATTCTTCCATTCTTCTCTTAGAAAGTCAATTATGAGATTATTTCATATAAGATTATGAAATTCCCATTTTGTATTTGTGCTTATGAAAGGATAATTTTATGCCAAATGTGTTACTTTCAAAATGTCTTAAGTGGGGAGACTATAGAAAGCTCTCTTTGAATCTAAAAGAGATACTATAAGAATGCATCAATGCAGTTATTACCTGTAATGAATATTTTTCTCCAAAAACATTCACGAGGTTTGTTTACGGGCTTGCTTACATACATTCCTTGAAGCATAACATTTGCTAGTCCATTTCTCTAAATTTTATTTCTGACTGCTACTTGTATTTTATTTTTCTAGAGTTCTTGTACAGCAAGTTTTCTGTAGCAAAGTAACAAAGGGACTGGCACAAAGATAATCATTGCATAGTCTGACTAGCAGAAAGAATTAACTGAAAAAAAGAAGTGAACTGGAAAAAGAAGGAAAGAAAATCCTGTGTATTTTTGCACTGGAAATACATCTGATTCAAAAACAAGTGTACAAAGTCGGGGACAGGCCTCGAGTTACAGTGAGTGTGGAACATGAACGTTGGGCCATTTGACTGTATCTTGACACAGAAATTCCTTGGTAGGTTTTTAGAGAAATTTTAACAGTCAATGGGAAAAACGATGAAATGTTGTTTTAGACACGGTATCTATAAAACAATAACATCCTCCTGGGCAAAATCAGATAGGTGCACTCAGTAGCTGAGAGAAAACCTGTGAACGTGTCACATCATTCAGGGAAGACAAATCATTTTTTTCATAACATAGTCCAAATTATCAGAAAAAAAAATCTAAGCAAGTAACTCAGTAGAGACAGCTTTGCCTGAGATATGGTTCCAAACAACTACAACTAAATAGGTTGTAATCAGGAGCAAAACAGCCCTTTCTGCTTTCATGTTTCTGTGCAAGAAGCTGCAACACACTCTCTACAACATATATATAACAATATACTGCATTTGCTGGGTCTTTGGCATACTTCAGTGTAGGTCATCAATACATGCCAGAATGACACACTTCTTGTTATTGTTCTCATTGAAAGCATGTCCTCGTATAAATAGAATCAATGTGTCATCAAAGCCGGGAAACAGATTCCCTGGGGAAATTAAACTGCCTCCTGGGCCAGTCATTTTCCTTTGTTCATATAAACTATTGATGATACTATTAAAAAAAGAAAACCATGGGGTACAGTGACTTGTGAACAGAAAGGACGAAAAAAATTGCTGAGGTGAGAAAATCTGGCTGGTCCCAGCTCTCTTCTTTGAATCCTGACTTCAGTGCCCCAGACTGCCATTATCCAGTGATATCTTAAAATGTTGGTTCCTTGAGGCAGATTTCAGAAGAGCAAAGCAAAGTCTCGACCCACAGAACGTGCAGTCTAATTCAGACAAATGCAACATACAGACTTATGCTCAATGAGGTCAGCAGAAGAAAACCTGTAGAAATAGCGTGTTAAAAGAGAAAGCTGAAGAAAAAGAAGGTGGGAGGTATGAAGACATCAGCTTCTTGGTCTGTTAGCAGGTAAGAAAGAGCTGATAAAGCTAAAGTGTCGGAGGAACTGTGCTGCGTTATGTGGAGACAAATCAGGAGCTTGTAAGCATGATGAGTCTGTAATATAACAAGTCGATTAACAGTAGAGAAAGAGTTTGTGAGGGAGGGAGAAGGAATTCCAATTTCCCAATCATGTGACTAGTCTAAACACTACCCCGTGCGCTCACTGCATTGCATGCATGCTTCTTAAAGGGCATGTTTCCCTATTAGACATGAATAGGTCCATCATAGGAAAAAGGATGCTAAAATGTAACTGGAAAAGAGGGGTACATGTTTTATCTTTCACTCGTCGGATTGCTCAGCACGTGTCTGCATCACTGTTGATCAGAAGTGGGCCAACAAAACCCTGGGATCCAATTTCTAGATTTTTAGTTTGATCCTTTTCTGTTTGAATGTGACACTTACCTATAGTGATAAGCCTACGATGTCCTATTTACCATGTGGTTTTAATAAACCACACCAAAAAGCAGGTATCTGGTGCTAGTTTTAAGTGCAGACACTGTGGTGTTTTTTAATCAGTCATCATCTAGGTAAGTTAATAAAGCTGCTCATTGGACCAAACTGACACGTCCTTCTTAGGAATTTTCCTTTTCTTTCAAGCCTGTGAGCAAGTTTAGCGTTACCTGTGAAGAGTTAGTCAGCTTGGTCAGATAAAGCAGTGGCTGGTAACACACTTCCCAGCTATTTCTGTCATTTTCTTTCTGACTAGAAGTGAGAGTTTCGCTACAGAAGAAGGTCTGTGTGATAACCTCTCAATACAGGCTGTAAACCTTCTCAGGTTTCTCCGACAAATCCACAAACCTCCACGCAAACACATCAAACCCATAAAGCGCAGGATGAGTTTGCCTACCACGTAGGAAAACCCCTGCACCCTAAGTTATCTTCAGTTAGAGCTGTTCCCCACGTGGGAGCAGTTCTAGACAGCACTATCCTGCAACCTACTCATTCTGCAGCCTCTTCACCTCCTCAGCTGACAGTCTAGGCACAACCACAAATGAGTCACAGGCGCGTCCAGGGAAGAACTCTGAAGCAATTGGCAGTAAAACTGGACTGCAGCAAATAGTCCCCATTCTTTCGTTTCTTGAATGTAACAGTTCAATCTTTAGAGAAGAAAATTGCTAAATATCAAAGCTGTGGTATAATCAGTGGGTACAAATGCTCTCATAGCTAAGGTGTTACTCCCTTTCCTACTTAAAGGTCAGCTCTTATAAGTGCTTCTCAAACCCACGAACACAACTTCTCCAGTTCCACAGCTTTACTCAGGGCTGCCATTTTACTTGTATTTTCACGTTGAAGCTGTTGATAACCACAGCCCTGATAGCGTGTAAGATATGCTTAATTGACATGGGTTTTACATCCAGGTTGCTGATACTGGCTTTAAAAACTCATGTAAAGCTGCTGCAATTCTTAGAGGAAAGAAGAGAAAATGAAAAATTGTACTCACAGAGAATCTCCATCTCACATGAGTCTAAGTGACACCCTAATAGATTCTCCTGTGCATGCATGAACCCAGTAGCCTGCCAGGTTTCACATGATGGTTCCTGGAAAATGCAGTGCATCGGCTAGAATAGTGAAGTTGACAGCAAGATCTTCAGGGCTTGCACAGAAAAGAGGCGAGGGGAAGTAGGGTTTTTTTGTGAAAAAAAAAGAGAGTGATTACTCTTAGGGACATATAACAGCCACACATTTTCATCTTCTGAGAAAATCCCAAGATCTGGAGATATCTAAATTCATCTCTTTCTGTCCTTCTCTCTCCATTGACTCAGAAAGGAGGAGGGTAATAAAGAGGACAAATCTGTCAGTTTGGCATGGCCAAAACCCTCTTCTGCTCCCCTCTATTATTATGGTGTACTTTCTGATCTCTTTTCACTCTCCCACAAGAACAACCTGGAATTGCAAAACCTTACCCCTCTAGAAGCGTCTCAGCTTCGTGTCCCCTTTCTGCTCTATAAGCCTGCATCTGACTGACCTTATCCTCCTCAGAGGTTTGGATTCTTCTTCTTCTTCTTCTTCTTCTTCTGCATGTGTCCCTCCAGCAATGTCTAAAACCTTTGATCTCCTACACGTAGTTGCTTTCTTCTAAAAAAAACAGCCACCAGGAAGCCCATAAAAACAAACAATAATGTTATTGTTAATAATGTTGTTGTTATAGCTGACTTTTTTTTTCTTTTTGGTAACAGAAAGATATTGCAGTCCAATGGATGGAATCTTACCAGCCAGGTCCTGAAGAACTAGCAGGTGATGACCTGTCAGACTACAGAGGGTTTTTTATCGCATCCAGACTGGAATTAGCCCAAAGATATTACTTAGGGTGGACAATGAACAACACTGCTAGGTGCCATGATGATCACACCCTGGATAAGTATTTGTTTCCATTTGTGTACAGCACTGTAATGGTCATCAGTATTCCCATCAACTGCATATTCCTCTGTGCATCTTGTGTTCAAATGAGGAAGAGGAATGAGTTAGCAGTCTACCTCTTCAGCCTTTCGCTGGCTGACCTCTTGTACTCTCTGATCCTGCCTCTGTGGATTGATTATGCCTGGCATGGAGATAACTGGAGGCTCTCTGCCTTACTTTGTCAGATTTCTGCCTTCCTTATGTATATGAATTTCTACACCAGCACTGTGTTGCTTGCTTGCATCTCTGTCAACAGATACCTGGCATTAGTTCACCCTTTGAAGCTCCAGCATTTGCGCACAAGAAGATTTTCCTTGATTGTCAGCATAACTGTTTGGCTTTTTGAAACCATCTTGAATTCAGTCATCTTAGTAAACAAAGAAACATTCAGTGATCCTTGCAATTCCACTAACCACACATTATGTTATGATAAATATCCCCTGGAACGGTGGCAGGCACAACTAAATATATTCCGGATATGCTTGGGTTACCTGGTCCCTTTGATAATCATTGTGTTCTGCTACTATAGAATCTACCAAGTGGTGAGGTGTAATCAAGCCACAGTAGATGAAGAAAAAAAGAAAATCAGGAAACTAATACTGAACATCACAGTCACTTTTATTGTTTGCTTCACTCCTTATCATGTGGTACTGCTTATTCGCAGCATCAAAGAACCTTACACCACTAACCCGCAGTTTGTCCAGCTGATGTATAAGATTTACAGAATAACCCAGGCCTTAACAAGTTTGAATTGCATTGCTGATCCTATTCTTTACTGTTTTGTGAGTGAAACTGCAAGAACAGACATTCTGAATTTGCTCAGGTGTTGCCTGTATTTACAAAAGCGTGAGGGAAACCAAGCAAAAGCCAATGCTCTGTGTAGCTGTGCTGTGAAGAGGAGTGCACTGATCATGAGCAGAACTTCCTGTGAGACTCTCTCAAAAATTTCCGAGAGAGTATAGTCAAAGCAACATTTGATAAGATAAAGGGAAAAGAAAGAAAAATTCTTCCACAGCCTGTACCTAAGAAATACCCCCAAAATTAGACACTCGTCTAAGTGAAATTAGTAGTGTTGGGGAATAAAGAGCAGTCTTTTATTGGTCTTCCCTACAAATAGCACAAAGAGTGCATCATCTGGAAGGTGAAAGAGAGTCTAGACTTCTGAGTTCTCTGGAGCTAATAATGACTTATTATAGGGTCAATGAAATCAATGAAGCATGAAAACATATCTTTAAATCAGGCATGGTACGTAAATGAATGTCAATAAACAAACTCACAGTCAAGAAACGTGAACATGACATACTGACAAAATTACCAAGGAACCCCCCTAAAATTGCCTCCTGTCC